TCCTAAGAAATGTCTTAATCCATACAAGTTTTGGAGGATCTTAAACATGAGGTCCAACCTCATGGAAAGTCTCCTATGAGTCTATCTCTCTCATCTAATTCCTACGTTTTTCCTATGGTTCAATCAAACAATCATTTTTGTATTTTTCTCATGTTTTACAATTCTCTGTTTTGTAGTAGAATTCCTATCAGAATCTTATATTTTTCCTATTTCTCTGTTTTTTAAGTGTATATACGTGTTCTTATCAGTACGTACTGCCACCACTCAGGTACTAATATGAATGCAGGTATATAACTAGTATCTCTTAGGCTGAGTTCTTTTCTTTACTTTACCAACTCACCTCTCTCATTTTTCCCATACACACTTTTCAAACTACTAAATGGTTCATTTTTTGCAAAAAATATTTTTATACGAAAGTTGCTTTAAAAATCATATTAATCCAATTTTCAAGTTATTTTAGCTAATACTGTCAAGGAGTGATCCTCTCTAGCGGGAGGTCGTGAGACCCCCCTTGTGAGTTCGGCCGGGGGAGCAAGTGAGATCCGAGGTTTCTCAAGACAAAAGAGACACAAGGGATTTATACAGGTTCGGGCCGCTATGAAGCGTAATACCCTACTCCTGTGTGTATGATGATTCTTCTATGCTTGCAAAGCCTCTGAATCTCCCATGTACAAGCTAGGGTTAGAGAAGCTTTAGTTTGGGGATCCAGAGTCCGATCCCCTCTCTCGCTAGGCATGGTCCTCCTTTTATACTCTAAGGGGATCCCACATATGCTGCGAGTGCTACCTAGGGAGAAGGGAAAATATTGTCTATATTAATTACATGTCTTGTGCCTTAGCCCAGAAGCTATCTGCGCGTCGGCTGCTGCGTGGGGCCCATCAGATCATGCGGGGGGAGCCACGTGGTTTTGAGGGCGACCTCCTCCCTCTAGCTGGGAGGGGGCAGCCGCCGCTCCACCCCGGGCTCGATCCCCCTCGGGGAGAACCACGTGGGTTTGAGGGCGGCCTCCTCCCTCTAGCTGGAAGGGGGCAGCCACCGCTCCACCACGGGCTCGATCCCCCTCGGGAGGAGCCACGTGGGTTTGAGGGCGGCCTCCTCCCTCTAGCTGGGAGGGGGCAGCCACCGCTCCATCCCGGGTTCGATCCCCCTCTGGAGAAGCCACGTGGGTTTGAGGGTGGCCTCCTCCCTCTAGACATGATACCCCCGGGCTCATATCACCGACAAATACTTAATTAATTATCCATTAACAAATCACCATGTTTTTCATGCGGGGAGGTGAAGTTCCAAACACAACCTTAGAACCTATACCAAGGTTGGGTGACCAACATGTTATTTCGACAAGGTGATGGGATTTTTTTTTGAGTTAACATGTATAGCAATAATTTATATTGAAGTGTACGCATGAGTATACTCCATCTGCCTTGTAAAAAATCAACCTAATACTGGATGTGACACATCCTAGTACTATGATTCGTAGTATGTCAAGATTCATAGTACTAGGATGTGTCACATCCAGTACTAGATTCGTTTTTTGTGGGACGGAGGGACTAGGTAAGAGCAGTCCCAATGCATGACTACTCTATTTGTGGTTGTAAAATCAAAATGTTTTTAATTCTTATTATGTAATGAACAATTGGCATGATATTATTCTATTCGATCCTACAGTGGTGTCTATAATCTCCACATCATTTACACTAGACGCTACAGTATACATTAATATTAGACCTAGTACTCCTATATATCACAATTTCTAAGAATGGCCCAATAATTTATAAAATCATCCTGCAAAAAAGATCACCATTATTTCTTTCAAAAAAAATTCTCTTCTCCATTAAAGCTCATCAGACTCATGTCCATGCCCACTATATTTTTTGATTCTTTGTATTGGGGTTTGCTTAATTTGAGCTTGGCTTTCATGCAAAACTATGTATTTGCCTCTTTCCACATTAACTCCCATGCCATCTAAGTTTTTATCCCATGTAGTATACTAATTAATGCTATGAACCCTAGCTAGCAAGCAAAGTATATACTTCCTCCGTTTCATAATGTAAGTCTTTCTAGCGTGAGCAATGCTAGAAAGACTTACATTATGAAACGGAGGGAGTACATATATATCTCATATTTTTCTCACCAACTTTTAATTATAAGAACTTGGCTGAATGAATTGCCACTCATCCCTTCGGAGTGGCAAAAAGTTAGTTGTTCCCCAAATGAATCTGTGAATATGAAATCAATCTAATATAAGAGATAACATTTTTTGAAGAAATAATAAATTTATGTTTAATTAATTTAAATTCTCTCCCCAGGTAGCTTAAGCTTGAGGGAGCATATATATATATATATACATATATATATATATATATATATATATATATATATATGTGCAATAGGGTCGCGGAAGTATAACTGTAACCCCTCCTGCACTACAATTATGAAATGTATTGTGTACCCCTACAACACGGCACATGCTAAAATATATGATCATGTATTGCAAATAAATACAACTTGTGTTTGAATTGCAAAACACACACAGATAAAACTTAATTTAAATATAAGGAGATGTTATCATGCAAAATGTGTGGCAAGTTTAGAGATAACGGTGATGCAGATTTATGCTAACAATGGATAAAAAATTAGCAATATGATTTCATTTTGATTATGTTATCTCATTTTGTAGGTTGGAATTTTTACTGTTATTCTGTCTCTTTAAGGGTTTGTCGACAGCCCAGAAGTTATGAACAACATAATGTGATAATTGGCTGTAGTTTCTATTGAAGTAAAGGCAGAAATTTCCATTATCTAAAAAAATATATAAAGATATGTTAGAACAACATTTTAAATGATTTGTGCATGCTTTAACAAAAAATTGTGGATATCTCCATATTTTTTAGACAAACTGTATAGGGAAACGTTATATTCTACTATATATATGATCATAAAGAACGACTCTCTACGGTATCATCAATGAAACAGAATGTCTTTAGCCTACAAATAATATGTCTCCACTAGCTAGGATGTTGTGTGTTGTGGTAGTAGGTATACGTAATTTTCAAGTGTTCAGCAATGACAGCATATATTCATCAAACATAGACTTAATTAATTAATTATTGCCACACTTCAAGAGAGATGCAAATCAGGTGCTTTTATTTTTCTACTTTTGAAGACCTAGTTTTATATATTATACCCTCACTTCAACAGAATATATAGTGACGTTCTAAGGTATACATGCTTGTCAAATTCTGCAAACTTTGTGCAATTAAGGAATGTAAACTCTGGCTGCTAGCTATAAATATCCTACTAAAACGAAGCTAGTATATCACATTGAGATGATGCACACATTGAATCGAGTATATGTATGTTTGTACAAGATTATGCACGTTTCTTTTAAAAAATGTATATGTATAGGATGGTCCATACATGCATTAAGATAATGGCACTGGAAAATATGGCACTCCACCATCCTTTCTTATATGGTGGTTAGGACCATTTACAACATAATTTGTCTCCATTAGTTAGTGAATTGTAACTAATTCGAACGCTTCACTACCATATATATGTACATAATTAGGCATCCAATTTTGTGCTGCACAGCACTGAAGTTTAGATATTGAGAAGAACACATCAATGGGCAGGACTACATATTTGCATGGGAGCAGCTAGTACTTTCCATGAACTTTAGTTCAATAATAGGCAGCCAGCAGAGTTTGAAGGAAACCTGAATATATAATTGATGAAAGATCAGCTCTCTGGAAGGAAGACTAAATAGCTACTGAGGTATATATTTGTGGAGTCTTTTGCTATATTTATTTTGTACTCCATTTAGGTCCTTAGTGTGGGCGTGCATCTCTTATCCTAAAGGTAAATAAAAGTGCATGTTGGGCTGCCCAGTGTTCCATAATGTACTACTACTTATAAATATAAATATAAAATAAAATATTTCTCCCTGGTGTATGCATACTTGATCCAAGAGAGAATCAGGAGGGAAATAACAGTAACAACATTTAAAACATGCTTAAATATTAGCTAGAATTAACTTATTTCGGCACAAATCCTTTCCAAGTGAGTATATATAATGTTCCTTTGTATCACTGATCATTTTATGATATACAAGTCTTTCCAACAATTTTATTTAGCTAACAGATAAAATCCGGCCTTTGCTTTAACAAAAGCTATAACCAGTCTTCCCAAAAAAATATGTGACGGTATGTAATGTGTGCACATATCTCATCATTTCAATTCAGCTAGAACTACTCTTTTGGAGCAATTGATGTTTCTTTTGTAAGGTACTGATGCAAAATAGGAGTAATAGCACTTAAATTCCTTTTATACTCAAATTAAGTTTTATTACACTTTTCTCTTAAAGGGTTTAATTGGCAAATGACCCAAGAATATATTCACAATTAATTATAACATTATTGTTGTGTGCATGTATGCTATGGGTGTGCACAAAACTACAAATGCACAATTAATGTTGTAGAATCTAGGTTTGTAAGTATTTTCTGCATCAGTCAGCTGGATATTAACTGTAAGATCGAGCCAGCATGATTTCTGAAGAATCTTACACGAATTACAGAGGGTTGTGCAGCATATGCAGCTACTCCAGTAGCAACGGAGACAGGAGTGGATCAGAACATGAGATGCAGCACTGCAGCAGCAGCAAAAGAATTGCACAGGAACCAATGCAACAGAGGGCAGGGATCATACTATCATACTATAGTTGCAGATCGATATGGATAGTATATGGAGTACATGATGCATGCATGCATGCATATCTGATCTTGTTGCAGTAGTATATCTGACCTCTAACCATCCAGTAATCTGCCTTATTTTGGGAGAAGAGCCTCTCATGATCTGCTCTGAGAGGTTGGAACTTCTTCAAGAGATTAAAAAAAAATGAATGTCCGGCACTATCAATATAGTACAAAGCCAATTAATCAAGTTATATATACATAGATTAATTGGGGGTTAAATTGTTATCATATGCAGGTACTTGCACAGTGTTATCAATATAGTACTTATCTTACTGCAACTTGATAAGAGTATTTACAATTATAATTAACCAAGATCACCTTTTTGGAAGTGTAGCAAGCTAAGGAAACCCACAGTACACAGTTCTAGAGTTTCTGATCAAATTCCTCCAAATTAGGCTCATAGAAATGAAGAACAGAGCAGTAACTAATTAAGCATAGAGCAAATTAACTAGCTAATAATTAATATGAGCAAGATATCATCAAGAAAATAATTCATCTCACTGTTACACATGCAGTTGCTGAAGCTATATACGCAGCTGCTCCAAACATTGCCTGATCTTGATCAGTTGGCGTCGTCGCCGTCGCCGTCGTCAGTGCTAGCTTAGCCTTTCTCCAATTCAGATTGGCTCGAGCTCACAACCCAAGATCCAAGGAGCACATCTTCTTCCCCGCCGTCGACGACGACGTCGAGGACGACGGCGAGGGGAGCTGCAGGAGAGACGACGCTGCCGTCCGGCTCGCCGCTCCGGCGATGTCGTCGTCGTCGTCCATGGCCGCCGGGCAGTCGAGGTTCACCCCGAACAGCCGGACACGCTTCGGCCTTGTCGTCGTCGCCGCCTCCTGCACCGCCGAGGTGGCCGCGACGTGCACCGGCACCGACTTGAGCACCACAGCGGCCGGCACCTGCGGCCGGAGGAACAGCACGTGGCGGCTGGACGCCGGGGTGGAGCCGCCGCCGTAGCCGTAGCCGTAGCCGCCGCCATAGGCGGTGGTGTAGTCTCGCCACGGGCAAAGGGGCACGGACGGGAGCGGCGGGTGGTGTCGCTGATGATGGTGGTGCGAGTGCGACGGCGGCGCCGCCGTCGGCGGGAACATGAAGCTGCCGGCGTCCTGGCGGCGGCGGCGGAAGTCGATGAAGAGGCGGCCGCGGGCGGCGTCGCCGAGGCCGCGGCCGAACGACACGGTGTCGCCGGCGCCGAGGCGCTTCTCCTTGACGAAGCGGCTCCACCCTTTGGTCATCACGTAGCTCTGGCTGCTGTTCCAGTACGAGTACCGGAACCTCCACGCCTTCCCCGTCCTGTCCTCGAAGCTCAGCACCAGCCCCTTCCCCCCGCCGCCGCCACCGCCGCCACCACCGCCGCCGCCGGCGCCCGCCGCGGCGTCGAGCGGGAAGTACCTCTCGGCGTGCTGCTTGGGGATGACCAATCGGTTCAGCTTCCCCACGTCGCTCGGCGTCACGACCTTCTCAAACATGTGCTCCTTCTCCACCACCGCCCACGCCGCCGCCCCCCTCTCGGAATCCTCCTCACCGCCGGCGACCCTCGTCGGCGGCGAAATTGGGGTGAACTCCATAGCTAGGCTACCTAAGCTCGCGTGCTCCTCCTCCTACCAAAGCTGTTGACTTTGACTAGTACGCTAATTCCGGGAGCTAAGTTGGGATGATATATGAAACAGTGTACTCTCTGCTACTACTATTTTTGGAGACTTGGATTAGGGTTATATATATATCACCTTATTATAACATGGAGATCGAGTCTCCTTTAAGTAGTGGATGTTTTTCTTGGGGAGGAATAACAATACTACTACTACTAAATTGGTTCTAATTAATATATGGAGATCAATGAAGGGAAGATACTCAAGCTAGGAAGAAATGGAAGCTACCTACCTACCTTTGCTTAATTGGCTCTCTCTCTCTCTTGATAATATAGCACTGCATGTGGCACTGTGAATTAGGGGTGTCTCTAGATTGGTGTATATATGAGAGCTAGCATGGAGTATGAATGTATGTGTAACTAGGCACCCAGACTACCAGAGAGAGAGAGTGTGTGTATGAGGTTGCTATGGAAGGAGAAGAAGATGGCAACTATGTACACACACAACACAAGCACAAGTAGGTATATAGCCACCAAGTAGCTTTCTCAAGGAGGGGAAAGGAGAAGAAGAGAAGAAGAAGAAAGTGCAATGCAAGCTGAGAGAGGGATCTAGCTCTAGCTACTAGCTAAGCTAGGTATATAGCTACTTGGTACTATAGCTTAGCTATGAGAGGAGGTGTGGGGCCCACAGGGGCTACTAATGATATTGGGTTTGAGAGAGAAGAGAGATCATGTGAGCATGTCCCTCTCAAGCCCTGCTGCTAGCAGCTGGGTGTCATGGATGGATGGATGTGTGATTCTGATTGGCTCTAGCACTCTTAAACAATTTTGTGCCGACCACATTTGCATCAAAAATCTATGTCAGCATCAGTAAACCATGCATGGTGTGAAGAGAAAAGAAAACTAATTAGGGTATTTTTAAGCTTTTGACCGGCCAGAGAAGCTAGCTTTGATCGATATATATCCTCACTCATAGTACTTCATGCATGCAACACCCTGCTCCTGCTGTGTACTAGTAGTGATAACTGCTAGTACTAACTCATTAGAGGGCCCCAAGCTTAGATTAGATTATAGTATTAGTTAGGCAAGGGTGTGATGAGCTCCATAATTAACTGGGCCAGCTGATTGGCCAGAAAGAGGCAATTGTACTACCCATGAGCAGTACTGGAAGCAGGGGGATAATGCAATATTATATTTCATGTGTGTGGTAACACCTGATCCCATTGGTTTTAAGAGTTGAAAACTGAATTGAGATGCTTTGGGCTCTTCATCAACAATGTTTTGAATTGAGTTGTTTAATGTACTATGTCCATATTTGCCGTATGCATTACTGCTGAGGAGTAGTACATAACTAGACTTCCCATTCCTTTTTTTTTTTTACATTTCCACTATCTAAAAATTAATTTCACACATATATTAATTAAATTTGATTTCTTTTAAGTCAAAGGAAAACTATGTATATACATCTTACTCCCTTCGATCCTAAATATAAGCATTTATATGTTGTTTAGCTAAGATTTTCTCTTTTAGTCATCTGATTGGTCAAATTTTAAATTTTGAATTTGCTTGGAGATTTCCATCCTAAGTATTATTACTTGATTGGTTGAAAATTCTTGGATTCATGTTCATTCGAACCAGTATCCTCAAAATACTTCTATTGCGTATAAAATTTAAATCCTAGAAATGCTTATAGTTTATTTGTGTATAGTAACTAGCTGTTCCACCCTGTTTCTAACTATAGCATTATCCGATCCGGTCAGTGTTTCTGATGATCATACATAGTTCCATAAATTATTATTCTATCCAGTGTTACTCATGAGTACATTTATATTTGAGGCAACTATATGTGCACCAGATATAAGCAGTACGCCAGTACTGATGATATGCTACTGTCTGTGTCCTTCACTCGTATATTTCAAACTGTTAGTTCGCAGCATTACTTTTTGTGTTTTCAATTTGAGCAATCGACTAGAAAAAATACCCGTACGTTGCAATGGAAGAAGACTATCTTAATCTTACTATTAATGTTATACGGTTTAGATAAGATAAAATTCACTGTAGAAATTCGCTTGGATATTGTCTTTTCAAGATCATGAGATACAATTAGAAGTCTAATCGTTTCAAGTTAGCATGTGAGTTTTTTAAAGAGATTTCTTATACGTCTTCTTTTGTATTTTAAAAGTGAACGAACTTAAAAAAACCTACTAAAATACATATTTGTAATTCCAAAAGCGAATGAACTTAAAAACTGACTTAAATACGGATGGCGTACTAAAGTATGGACAAAAACATCTCTAATTTTTATAACAGTACAGATAACCATTCCGTTTTTTTTTTTGCGGGGAACCATTCCGTTACGTTAAACTTGGCTTAATTTAGTTCTAGTATCTGTTTCTGATGTCATGTCTCATGTGTATGTACAACTGTAGACATGTGCTGAACAATATAATTAAGCAGCAGTGAACCTGATTCGCCCCCAGCGCTGACGTACAGAGGCGTCGTGTTTTATGGCCTCATGCACGCGTAAACATGCTGAGATGTGCACATGATTTGAATGCACTCTATTTGAAATTAATAGCTCAAGTGCAGATTATTGGTTCGTATATAATTTTGCAATTTGTGTCTCTAGTACCCTCCAAACTTAATTAGCTTTTTCGTTCCCTGAGGTGTGCAATTTGGCTCGTAAATTAACCTGAAGCAGCTCGAAAAGCTCGAACTGAATCTACTTAATTACTTGCCTAATAACCAGTTGCGTGAGACAGTTTCATCTAAATTATGGGTCAAATTAAACAAGTTTGAGCTAGCTAGCTAGCTCTAGCTCACACAGTACTAGTTATCGAGCTAAATTAATTATAATTGCCGTTAGGTTCAGGCACATGCAATTTGCGAAAACCAAATGGTCCTCAAGAATCAAAGGAATCAAGATGCATGCACTTCGAGAGATCATGCATCCTGGTGCTCACGGTTGGTCATAATTCTCATGCTCCCATTCGGATCGGTCGCATGCTTGAGATCACTTTGACCATTGCAGAGATGAGCTGAGAGCTGAGCTAGCATGGGCTGGTGTTCTTGCCACAAGTGGGTCAAGCTAAACTAGAGCTAAGATATCATCAAGATCAGAGGTCCCAATTAAAAGAGAGATCGATACAGCGTGCATTTGCTTGCCTTTTTCTTAATTATGTGTGCGAGAGATTAATTGATCGATCGATCAGGATGTCTTGATGGAGATAAGGATCATGTGGTCGTGGCGTTTTCCTAACCCTAATTTACTCACCTCGATTGCAGCTAAAAATTGCAGCAGATTCCGTAGGGGACCGGCCGGTCTCTGCTGGGAGATGCATGTATGGTGTACTACATGATATATATATTATTGATCGATATGGGAGAGAAGGAAGAACGAACTGGAGCTAAGCTGCTCAAGCTCTGAAGAGAACTTAATTTGATGTGGACAAACTGTACAGAAGCAGCAAACAGTCTTTACTGTCTAAAGCTTTAAATGGTACTACACTACTACTAAATCTTGTCTCGAAGCAATTACGTGTCGATATCTCCATGACCAGATGCTCATGAGGGTGATAATTAATTGATCTGTGCATTCATATATATGGGCAGATAGTAGTAGCAGGTACGTACTATATGTTCTTAAGGTTGAGCTTTTGAGATGTTGAGGTTGATAGGAGATAGCATATATATATATATATATATATATATATATATATATACTCCTTCCTTCCCTAAATGTTTGACGCCGTTGACTTTTTAAAACATGTTTGACCATTTGTCTTATTTAAAAACTTTTGTAAAATATGTAAAACTATATGTATACATAAAAGTATATTTAACAATAAATCAAATAATTGGAAAAAAATTAATAATTACTTAAATTTTTAAATAAGACGAACGGTCAAACATTTTAAAAAAGGTCAACGGCGTCAAACATTTTGGGATAGAGGGATTATTAGGTTATCAGTTCGATCAGGAGACCCAACACCTGCAATCATAATGCTTGGAGATGAAACCATGCGTTGATCATGCATGGCATATATACAAATCTTTGGGTTAAAGAAGGTGAAGAGGGCATACCGCTAATTAAACAATGACACCTGTGGGAATGAAAATTTTGTTACTCTTCACATGTAAAGCAAGGAGAGAGGAAAAGCTACATGAGAGCTAGTAATTTTTTAAGGTTACAGTTGCTTTTAGTTCTGAAATTAAATCAAGAGGCAGGAGCTAGAGATCAGATTGCTCCATTGCTAGCTGTCATGCTGGGATTGGGAGGATCACCTCATTTCAGGAGATAAGCTAGGTAGCTAGGATTTTCCTCTGGTTTCATTAACGATCAGTGTATGCAAATAATTTCAATAAAATAGCAAGGCACCTAATTTACTCATTAGTCATTACATATGCATCGATCACTTATATACACAAGATTGCAACCAGTGTTTGTAATTTTGGTTCAAAATTCCAGTTGCAACCCCACTTCCCCCGCCCCCAAAAAAACACGGCACACCGGCATGAAACTATTTCGCCTAGGATTTTTTTTTTGCATTTTCTTTTTGCTTAATTTGGCAAAAAAAAATCAATTCCGGTCAAAAGTTATCCATTTTTTTTTAAAAAAAACCGCTCCAAAATTTTGGACTTTATATACTCCCGGCACAAATGTGCAAAACAAAATTGCAGAACCTTTGCTTGCAATAGATAAGTAATTTAATTTGCTTGTTTTTAGTTGATCCTTAATTTGTTTGCAGATTCTCTCTATCCTAAACATTAAAGAATTCCATGCTTATAAAAATGTACTAACTCTGTTCCAAAATATAACAAGTTACATAAAATCCTTGGCACGACTAAATAAAGGAGAGAGAGATGTAAAAGGACTTGTTTTGCCTTAGGGTGTGTGCGGTGTGGGTCGGGACTAGTTGGGATAAATAATAAAGCCAATGAGTAGTATATATGGGTATTATGTTTGTAAGAAAATTTGAATTCTAGAAGTTGTCTATATTGCTATATTTTCTCCGTTTTATATTATAAGACTTTCTAGCATTGTCCACATTTATATAAATATTAATGAATCTAGACATATATATATGTGTATAGATTTATTAACACCTATATGAATATGGACAATGCTAGAAAGTTTTATAATATGAAACGGAGGGAGTACAACTTAATTGGCCTAGTGTGTGCTGCTTCTTGTTCTTTTTTTTTTTTTTGAAAGAAAGATGCAAATGTGCTACTCCTTGTACTTCTTATTTATTAATTTCAATAGAATGTAGAAATACACTGTACTAGCTGTGGTATACTATGAGAACTATTTTTCATTAACAAATCTAGTGGGTTTAATTAGTTTTTATACATCCAACTTTGATGATTTTAAAGCACTACAGTCCTTTTGAAATGTGTAGTTACTATATCGCCAGCCTTTGCACTATATAGCCCTCATGAATTCTGTACAACTGGTTAGTGTCAGTTCAAGCAACTTTTTCCAGATATGTGCATATGACCCAAACATTGAAACATATATATGTGCCACCATTTACTGTGCATATAGATGCACTGCTTCATACTATCTAGTAGTATATAGGATACCAGGCCTCGATCAA